AGAACATAATGAGAAGAAAAATATAGGGAAAGGGAGGGGGACCTGGGATCGAACCCAGGTCCTGTTGCTTACCAACACACATGCCTGCCACTGAGCTACCAACGCTTCTTTGTATATTATATAACTAACAATTAATATAAGAGAAAATAAGAGTTAGTGGGATTTTAGCGCGAAAATTCAAATGAACCACTTGCTGTCCTACACATCATCGTCTTCTCCATGGCTTGCATTTTCCTGAAACATGAAAAAGAATTAGCGGGGGTTTTGAACCCCCCCAAAATATGCACTTTTCAATAATAGCGAATAGGCCATATGGTTATATAAATTGGGCGCGACGGTTGCATTTGATTCGTCCAAGCTTCCTGATTTCAACCATGGCATTGAGATGTCCTAATTTTACAGTATTCAAAAATGCCCAATTTGAAAGTTCTGTAACCCTAGCGTCCTTTAATGGTGATTCTTCATACAATGCGTAAAAACTCAATTAAATCATATGGTTAGTTTCAGAATCATCCAATTAGTACAAATCAAGAATCAAAATGCATGGATATGGCCTGAATAATAAAACACGATTATGCAAAAAGAAAGACACAGTCTGACTTATAATTACCAATTCTTGATGTTTCAAGCTATGATTTTGATCCAGGCACCTTCCTTGATGTCTCAGCAAGACAATAGAACAATTATTTTGGCTTGAATCGCACTAGAACCTAGTTTTCAGTTTTGGAATTTTTTGTCAAAAACTCAAACTTGGTTATGGATGTATGGCGCAGCTTAGAGGTTATGGACACTAGGGTTTGCATGAGTATATATGTGGGAATGATTAGGGTTGAGAAATTGATCCAAAGAACCTTTGCATTGATGAAGAGATATTTGATTTTCATGGCAAATATTTTTCAATCTTTTTCACATGTTTTTGATGCCAATCATATCCAATTGCCTTGATTCTTTCCAAATCTGATCATGCACGAAATATTGAGTGTATTTCATGCATAAAAATATTTAAAAACTTAGGTTTGGTATTTTTCATATATTTTAATTAATTAAATGAATTATTAGCAATTAAAAATTCAAATAAATAAATAAAAATGATGAGAAAACTTCCCTTTGGGCCAAATGGTCGTGCACATGCCTTGGATGATGATTCTTGGAAGAAAATGTGGCCCATTAGCATTTTTAAGACATTTGAAGCAAAGTTGACTTTTCAAAATACCCAAAAATTTCCCAACTTCCACAAGGCATAACTTGCTCAGGTTTTAAGCTTTGATCATGTTCTTGGACATTTTGGAAAGGTATTGAAGTCCTATAACCAATGCCTTTGGTCCCATGTCATTTTGAATTACCAATCTCAAGTTATGGCCTTTGACTTAAAGTCCCTTTTTGTTGACTTTTGAAAATGACCTATAATGTTGAAATTGATAACTTTTTGTGAGAGCATTTCTTGGACTTGAAGTGTGAAGAGGAGTTGTAGGAAATGTCTTTCTCTTCAAAATGAGCTTTGGATGGAATTTTTCTGATAATCCATGTGAAAGTTATGCCCTGGTCAAGTTACAGTTGACTTTTTCAACTGTCCAAATATGGAAACTTTTGCATCTTGAGACTTTTTGAGCCATACCTTGAGAATCATGATCAAGAATTGATCAAATGATGTTTGTGGCTTCAAAATAAGATGTTGACCAAAAATTTGAACTTTTGACTGTCAAATGACCATTTTGCCCCTACAGTTGACTGTAGTGCAATTAGGGTTTTTGACTGTGCAATTTTGTGCTGTAAGTCTTGAAACTTGGTATGAGGATGCTTGACCATGTTTGTAGGCATGTGGGACTTGATTGGACCCTCGGAAACTTCATTTTCCTTGTCAGAACCAAAACCCTAATTTTTGACTGTTAGGAGGCCCTTGAACTGTGCAACCCGTGGGGAGATTTTGAAGCTTGCTCTTTGCAAATCTTGAAGAATATGGGAGGGAAAATTTTGGGGTACAACAGGTGCCTATAAGCCGTAATGTATTATCCAAACAAGCACATTGCCTCTAAGCCGTAATGTATCTCTCCAGATCAATGTATTTCCTCTAAGCCACAATATACTATCCAAACAATCACATTGCCTCTAAGCCACATTGTATCTCCCCAGATCAATGTATTGCCTCAAAGCCGCATTATACTATCTAAACAAGCACATTGCCTCTAAGCCATAATGTATCTCTCTAGATCAATGTATTGCCTCTAAGCCGCAATATACTATCCAAACAAGCACATTGCCTCTAGGCCGCAATGTATCTCCCCAGATCAATGTATTGCCTCAAAGCCGCAATATACTATCCAAACAAGCACATTGCCTCTAAGCCGCAATGTGTCTCTCCAGATCAACATATTACCTCTAAGCCGCAATATATTATCCAACCAGTACATTGCCTCTAAGCCACAATGTATCTTTCCATATCAACATAATGCCTCTAAGCCGCAATATATTTTCCAAATCAGCACATTGCCTCTAAGTCGTAATGCATTCCCTCTAAGCCGTAATGTATTATCTAAATCAACACATTGCCTCTAAGCCACAATGTGTATTATCCAAATCAACACATTGCCTCTAAGCCGCAATGCGTTCTTCCAACTCAAACACATTGCCTCTAAGCCGCAATGCGTTCTTCAAACTCAAACTCATTGCCTCTAAGCCGCAATGCGTTCTTCCAACTCAAACTCATTGCCTCTAAGCCGCAATGCATTCTTCCAACTCAAGCACATTGCCTCTAAGCCGCAATGCATTCTTCCAACTCAAACTCATTGCCTCTAAGTCATAATGCATTCTTCCAACTCAAACTCATTGACTCTAAGCCGCAATGCATTCTTCCAACTCAAGCATATTGCCTCTAAGCCGCAATGCGTATTATCTAAATCAACACATTGCCTCTAAGCCGCAATGCGTTCTTCCAACTCAAACACATTACCTCTAATCCACAATGCGTTCTTCAAACTCAAACTCATTGCCTCTAAGCCGTAATACATATTATCCAAATCAACACATTGCCTCTAAGCCGCAATGCGTTCTTCTAACTCAAACACATCGTCTCTAAGCCGCAATGCGTTCTTCAAACTCAAACACATTGCCTCTAAGCCGCAACGTGTTCTTCAAACTCAAACACATTGCCTCTAAGCCACAATGCATTCTTCAAACTCAAACACATTTCCTCTAAGCCGCAATGTGTTCTTCCAACTCAAACACATTTCCTCTAAGCCGCAATGCGTTCTTCCAACTCAAACTCATTGCCTTAAAGCCGCAATGCGTTCTTCCAACTCAAACTCATTTCCTCTAAGCCTCAATGCGTTATTCCAATATAAACACATTGCCTCTAAGCCGCAATGCGTATTATCCAAATCAACACATTGCCTCTAAGCCGAAATGTGTTCTTCAAACTCAAATACATTGCCTCTAAGCCGCAATTCATTCTTCAGACTCAAATACATAGCCTTTGAGCCGCAATGTATTCATGCTCAAAACATTGCCTCAGACGTCATCCAGCAATTCGCAAACGTAATCCATGGCCTCAGTCTTCAAGCAGCCATGCATCATCAATCATTTCTATACTCACCCTCCAAAGGGGTGAATAAGCCAAGACATAAAGAATTGCGCTATCTGCCTCGTTATCAAACTCTGGTAAGCGATGCATCATCAGCTTTGCCTACTTCCTTGAGACTCGTAAGGGTATGCTATATCAGTGTAACCTTATGTTTTGCCGGACAAAATTTTGGTATACTTCAAGTATTCAATAAACTTCTAATCAGAATGCGCAAGACTCGAGTTTTCTCACGTTATTTGACTGGAAGATAAGTGAATAGGGGCAGCTGTCGTACCCCAAATTTGTCCTACCTCGATGATTTCATTTTTCAAGATTAAAATAGAAGAAATGTTTAACTTAAGATGGTACAACAGTATTTGATGGCCCGTCTTTATCTGGCTAGGGGGTGCATTTTAATTCAGGAGAGTGGGGCTTTCTAAAACAGAGAGACTCATAAATCTGTTCGCGAGGCATGTTGTCCACCGGCCCATGCAATTCGAAAAATCAATTATTCGAGCAACTATTAAGTTCCTAATTATCGAACATTTGTTATTAAGAAGAAAAATGGGAAGTTAAACAGTCGCTAAATTCGTCCATTTGGCATTTGAGATCAAAATTATTAGTTGATCTTGAGTAAGGATTTTAAATCATTTGTAATATGTGATGAAGGATTTTGAAAAGGGTGTCATTAGCAAGACTCTTTAGTCTTATTATTAAAGATAAATGCATATTATGAAGAGAAATAATTGCTGGCAAATCCCATTTTTATTAAAGAAAATTGTTTATTATTTTTAAGTAAATAAATAAACAATATATTCTTTTAAACTAGAACGCTTTACTAGTAACTTTGGATTCTAAAATTTGTTTGCTTTAAAAGATATTCAAGCCCATTAAGCATGTTTCAGTATGCCTGTGTCGCTATAGTTTTTTGAAAATGCTTAAGAATAGAGAGGAGGGTGTATATTTTTAGCCCATATTAAATCAACTTTGAGGGCCCAAACAATGAATGCAATCTGGACCTATTTGGTTGGTCTTAGGAAAATTATTTTATTTTAAATATTATTGTTGTTTTATTAAATAGCATTATAATTATGTCATCAAATATTTTTAACGTGGATAGTGTGTTGAAAGAGTAAATATTGGTTGTTGGATCAAGAAAAACATATAGGCACAAGGTTAATAACAGATCTTCACTTTTTTAACGCACATGTCTTTTATTTTAGCAAATATCTACTGTTCCAATTACTCCTAAGTTAGCGCAGGGATTTTGTTTACTAACAGTCACTGTAGAAATCTGGAAAAGGAAAAATCAACTAAATCTACTGCAAACTTCCACATTGCTAGCACTAAATCTCAGAATTTCAATAAGTGATATCCAAATATTCAATACATTCAGATCTTCAAACATACTCAAGATTCTATTACAAATCTCACATTTACTGAATCATACAAATATGAAAAATAGTACACCTATATTCAGAATCGAATCTAAAGCTTTGCCAATCAAAAACATTGAATCTCCACATCTTGAACCTGAGATACGATTTACAGGGAGAAAATAGAATCAAACTACACTTAAATTAAGTCACCAGAGCTAAATCCAATCAGCAAATCCAGATATACCTTATACAAATTAGATTCTAATCAGATTCAAATCAAATATTTACAAATCCAGAAACAATCAATTACCATAAAATCTCCTATATCTAAAGCAATCAAAAAAACCCTAATCCTAAAGGTTATAAATACTGAAGGGAGGAGAATTTACGGGGGAGGTTGGCTAACAGAAATCGGGACGGCAAGCAGGGCGAACGTATCCTTCTACACAACAAAAACAGAACCGCAGAGAGGTCATGGCGAGGCTTTCTTGAACCCATCATTTGCTGCTGAAGATTGAGGGAGAGCGGTTAGAGTTTCAATTTCTGAAACCCTAACTGCGAGCCACCGTCAAGCGCCGCCGCTTCCATATCCACCACCGCCTCTAGCTCGCCGAAATCTGCAAACAGAAGGAGAAAAAAAGAAGAGATCAGTATCCAAATTAGAAGAAGTTGGATTGTAACCCAGAAATTGCGAGGGAGGAAACTCAGCTCATGTTTTTTTAACTGATTGATTTGGGGTTTTGCGCGTTGTGGTTTGAGTGAGGCATCGCCGCGATGGGTGTTTCTGGGGCTAGGGTTTTGGGGTAGTTGAGAGAAAAGGAAAATGGTGAGTGTAAGGAGAAGAAGAGATGCGGTTAGCAAGATGGAGAGGGAGGATGAAGACTTTCTATAAAAAAATGAAAATGAAAATTAAAATAACTTACTAATATCCGTTTCAATCTTATACCTCGCATCCATGGTAATCATCATACACCCTCAGATCTCACCCGCCGGATATGCATCAGACGGCCGCTAAGCCAAGGCGCATAGTAAATTCGTACTCCCTCACTCACAGGATCATCTGACCCCTCCAAAAAATATGTGTTGGGCCTAGCGCACATGCCATTTGCACCCCCTCCTAAAAGCCATTACTAAACCATGATTCAATTTGCACCCCCCCTGGTTTGAACTATGCTTGGGCCCAGGCAGTTTCTTAAACAGACCCCCTGTTTTTTACTTCCCAACTGGGATTGCACCCCCCCCCCCCAGGTTTATTCAAAATTATTATTATTTTTTATTTCTTTTATATTTTTTTATATACTATATTTTGTTTATATTTTATTTTATTAATTATTAATGATTATAATAATTATTATTATTATTATTAATTTCTATTACCATATTTTGAATATCATTTATTATATGTAAATATTACTATATGATAAAATAAATTATTTTCATGTAAAAATTGCATATATTATTTCCTATACTATTTGCATTAAAACATTTGTAATCATGCATTAATCAAGACTTCCTTGCAATTAACACAATAAAAAACACAAACAAATCTCAAACTATTTTCGTGAACAAATTAAGCTAATCAACAGTCTTTTCGCAAATAGGGTTTCAAACCGATTTTGGCTTACTGCGCACTCAGTCAAAATCTCCGCAATCACTACTCCCAACCGAGTGCGAAGTGATTCAAAATATGTTTGCAAACCCCTAAAAGACACCAACCCATGCGAACTATGAATTGGGACTCTGATTCCTAATAAGAGGATACGTAGGCACGCGATCTAAAATCGTGGCGAGTCTTGCTAATTAAAACCTAAAACCCTGTTTATCCCAAACCTAAACCTAGGGCTAATATCCTTGTGAACAAGGTAGACGAAAGGCGCCTAACACCTTCCTTTCGTCTAATTAAGTCCGAAACCTAGAATCTCTGTCCGCGAATTAAAGTTCTCTGTTAGGTTCCCTTCCTTAGGATAAAAACTAATAGTGGTGACTCTTGATAAAAAAACCAATTGCTACAATCCGACCAGATATCAGTTAACTTTATCCTCCCCAGAAAAATCAGAAGTTTAGTCTTCTCTTTTATCCCCAGTCAGGGTATTTGAGAATTAAATTCCCCAGTAGAATAATGGGAAACCAATGTTCCTGAACCTTACTCCTCAAGATGAAATCAACATCCCATACAGAGTTTCCTCAAATAAATCAGCAGGAATCCCCAGCGGAAAAACTCTAAACAAAGTTGAAGATACACAGACTCTTTGTCTCCAGCAGAAGTCCGGGATTCAGCTTCCCGAAACTCCCCAGCAGTAGTCAGAGATTTATTTTCCCAGATTAAGACACATTTCAATAACATTACACATTCATACATCATGACATATGCATACAAAACGCATATAACACAATCTTGTTTATGTTGAGAGCATCACTATGCAATGTATTTCATACATAATTATATCGCATACAGTTAACCCTTTTCCTTTTCAGGAAAGAAACAATCAACAAACAAAAGACCTCTTCTGGGTTAGGTTTACTTCTTCCAGTTAAAGACAGGCGGACAAAATACCTCTTCTGGTTTAGATTTATTTCTTCTAGTTAAAAACAGGCGAACAAAAGACCTCTTCTAGGTTAAATTTACTTCTTCCAGTTAAAGACAGGCGAACAAAATACCTCTCATGGGTTAGATTTACTTCTTCTAATTAAATATAGACGAACAAAAGACCTCTTCTGGGTTAGATTTACTTCTTCCAGTTAAAAGCAGGCAAACAAAAGACCTCTTCTGAGTTAGATTTACTTCTTCCAGTTAAAGACAGGCGGAAAAAGGACCTCTTCTGGTTTAGATTTATTTCTTGCAGTTGAAAACAAGCAAACAAAAGACCTGTTTTGAGTTAGAGTTACTTCTTCTAGTTAAAGACAGGCGAACAAAAGACCTCTTCTGGGTTAGATTTACTTATTCCAGTTAAAGACGGGCGAACAAAAGACATCTTTTGGGTTAGATTTACTTCTTCCAGTTAAAAACAGGCGAACAAAAGACCTCTTGTAACACCCCAATTCTACCCCGGAAATTATATAAATAAATCAGAGTTATAAAATCATATCATGCAAATGAATCGGGATGCCACAAATTCTCCTATCAAAATTCATTGCATTCATCGTGGATATATAACACCTTTAAAACATCGGATGAACCATCATCATAACATCTTTGATTAAATAATTCAACATCTACACAGCGGAATTCTTAATAACATCCTTATCATCATTATAGCAACTTCAAACCAACAAATACTTAATAATAATCAAATTAAAGTTCAACGAAGGAATAATCAACAATCAAAAGCAAAAAGCATTCACCCCCATGAGTGTTACATATCAAAGCAATGACACCGACTCGAACTACTGAAGGTATACAGCCTTCACTCTCGATTACCTGCACGTTACCAACATAAGGGCAACATTCAAACAGAAGGGGTGAGATATCTAACAATATAATAAAGCGCATGATAATTAATATATTAAATTAGATCACATAACATCACCACTTTTCATCTCATGCTCAACAATAATCACGGCAATAATACACAATCATAACATCAATACACACTTCTTTATACAATCATATAATGCGACTCAATACTATGAAAATGCATGTGGTACCATTTGGAGCAGAACTCCCATCTCAAAAATTTGCCAATTAATAGAGGCATCAACAAGGCATAAGCCTTCATCTCAATATTCTCCAAATTCAGGCCATCTCAACGAGCATAAGCTCCATCTCAAAATTCAATGTATGCGACACAATCATGAATGTATTAACAACACCATAATTAACAACAATCATAATACAACATCATCGTTGGCCAAAGGCCTACGTCTCAAAGCATCTCAACATCTCATATCATCCATAATAATTTATCATTTATCCATCAAACATCATTTATTCATCATAAATTATCAACACTACATCATTAATAACGTCTCATTAACAACTCAACTGTATATTAATATGACAGTAATTCACACTACTATTCTGTAATCTTACATCATTACTATCATTACTCCTACTGTTACAAATCAAACAACAGCCTATAAACATTTCATCCTCATCATTCTGCATAAAAACCAACATAATGATCAACACGGAAACTAACTCTAAATCCTAAATTGGCTACCAGGATTACACTTCCTATTCTTTATTTTAATCCTCTAGAATAAATTTAATCGCGTTAGCTATTCAACACTTCAAACGGCAACTCAAACGGCATCTTAAAACTCAAGTTACAACATTTATAAACTGAATCTGCCAAAAACCAGACAATATGGATTGACGCAAAACGTCTTGGATCGGCGCGTACTGCACTGAACTCGCAACATGAGTCGACGCATCCTCTCTTGGATCGACGCGTGCTGTACTAAACTCGCAACATGAGTTGACGCATCCTCTCTTGGATCGAGGCGTACTGCACTGAACTCGCAACATGAGTCGACACATCCTCTCTTGGATCGACTCATTCCTGAGTCTAACACACAGTATGTATCGACACATGCTCCTATGGATCGACTGATCCTGAGTCTAAAGGTTCTTATGTATCAACGTAATATCCTTCGGGTCGGATCATCCTGAGTCTCAAAACCTCCTTGTATCGATACATAGCATTTGAGGTCGACGCATCCTGTTACATCCTGCATAAATTCTGCGATTTTCTCTGCATTTTCACTACGGATTTCATATTTTAAGCCTTAAAAACTTAATCTAATCATGGATAATCATCACTTACAATTACCCTATAATTCTACATTAATTAAACCGCATCAGGACATCATTATTCATCCATAATTCATCAATTCTTCATCATACGACATCATATACATTCAATTCAAGAACAAGACAATAATCACCTCTAACCCCACATACCAATCATCATGAACCCAATTATAGAGTCAAAACCCCACCCTTACCTTGGATTGAAGGTCGCTCTATAACTTCCGGTCGAATTCTCGTTCTGCCATTTTTCCTCTTTTTCCAACAGCTTCATGTTCTTCTTCTCAATCCTTATTCTTCTACTGCCTCTTCTTTCTATTCCTTCTAACAACAATAGAATAACTTATTATTCTTTATTCCTCATTGGGCTTAAAACTAATACACCCCCTTATTACTTATATTCCTTAAAAACAAGCCCACATCAATAATATTATACTTCTAATATTTCTCCACTTAATAAAATACTTAAATCTAATTAAACGTAACACAACTTCACAAATATTCCAAAAATAATTTAATTAAGTAATTAATTAAATTACGGGCATTACACCTCTTCTGGGTTAGATTTACTTCTTCCAGTTAAAGACAGACAAATAAAGGACCTCTTCTGGTTTAGATTTATTTCTTCTAGTTAAAGACAAACAGACAAAAGACCTCTTCTGGTTTAGATTTATTTCTTCCAATTAAAAATATGCAGACAAAGGACCTCTTCTGGTTTAGATTTATTTCTTCCAATTAAAGACAGGAGGACAAGAGACCTCTTCTGGTTTAGATTTATTTCTTCCAGTTAAAAACAGACGGACAAAGGACCTCTTCTGGTTTAGATTTATTTCTTCCAGTTAAAGACAGTCGGACAAAAGACCTCTTCTGGTTTAGATTTATTTCTTCCAGTTAAAGACAGGCGAACGAAAGACCTCTTATGGGTTAGATTTATTTCTTCTAGTTAAAAACAGGTGAAGGACA